CATATATGGTCTGTTCATTTCGAAGTGCTCGACAAAGATCAAAGAAGGATATGCAATGTGATAGGTCCTGACCTGGCATCTCGACTCCAGTAACTTTCTTACAGACGTGATGTGCCTTCCCTCTGTCTTTTCTACAAATATATTCATGGTAACTGCTCCGAGGAGCTAATTTCACTTGTGCCTCAACTTCATGAATTTAAGCGTGCTACTAGGTTGGCGTCTCGTTCCCACACTTTCTCTGTCGAATCAGTTAAATGTAAACGTCTCTCCTACTCTAACAGCTTCCTCTCTTGCACTTCACGACAGTGGAACTCCCTTCCTCTTAGTTGCTTCCCTAATAACTATAATGTTCAAATATTCAAATGTAATATCAATCGACATCTTCCGGTGCCTTGATCTTCATCCCCACTCTTGTCTTTTCTTCAGACACCCGTCTTTACTCTTGCTCTCACTCGTTGTAAGCCTTTGCGTGCAAGTGGCACTCCCGCCTTGCTTGGCGTGAAAAATCAGTGCAGAGGAAAATACTAATGTCACTTAAAGAAGGCCATATAATACACCAAGCCACTGTAAAATCAGCAGCTAACGAAGAAAAATATACATAACTGTTATAAAAGGACCCTGGGAACAGAGATTACGCACAGTGTGCAAAACATCCTTTGTAAATAGTAAATACGGGGCAGCAAAACACTTTATAAACACATATGGGAAATTTAAAACAAAAAATAAATTCCACTGAAAACTATAATGGCAAATAAAGAAAACAGCAATAAATACAAAACTCTGTCTGAAAAAGAAGAAGTCTATAATCACCTTCCCAGACCAAAATAAAAATATTAAACCAATGATCAGAAAAAAATAAATTGCTTTATATCAACGGCATTCCATACTTCATACTTCTCCAATTAACTCTCGTGTGGTCATGTGTGACGTCATGCGATGCGGTGTGATTTTCGCTTCTAGCGTCTTATATGCACCTGTTTATCTTTGCTTAGAAATCATCTATGTAAACATTGACAGACTATCATCACTGTCTTGTCCGTATATTGCTTAATATGTTGTAATTGACATCTTTGATAATGGCTTATGTAAGCCGAAAGCTAAGATTGTATTAAAAAAAATATGGATCAATATTGTGAATTACTTTCTTCGTTCAACGATAATATTATTAAACTTATCAGATGTTACGAAAAAATTTACATAAAATAGACAACACTTGTCTATATTATTTAATGAAACGTGTATATATATATATATATATATATATATATATATATATATATATATATATATATACGTATTGCTTTGTCCGGAAAGATCATGCCGATTATTAAGCAACACAAAACAAAAATAATGCCATTAAATATTTATTTAACTAAATATGAACCCTATTGTAGTCCTTTTTATTCGCCCTTTCCTTGACTAATTTTCTTATTAGGGTTTCCGCCAATATTAAACCTAGTCTAATCATAAAACATATCCGTGTCTTACGCACCTTATATATATATATATATATATATTTATATATATATATATATATGTGTGTGTGTGTGTGTGTGTGTGAGAAAATATATAGAAAATAGGAAGGAACTGGTTAGGTAAATAATCCAAAGTCCCTTAGTATTTTAGTTATTATTTTTAAAAATAGTGCTCGATACAATAGTAGAGCATAAATATAATTATTTATTTAAAAATATGATTCCAAATCGCTACATAAGAGGTCTCATGTTTCAAAACTAGAGCCGAAAACTTCAATATAATCCTTTAAATTAAATTGAGTTGAAAGTAAAATGGGCTCCGTTCCATCCTCAAGCGAAATTTTGTTGGAATAACGTATATCTGAAATTTACTTGTTTTAAAATTGAAATCAAAATCCCCATGGTAACAGCTATGGTGAATTTTCTAAATTGGGTAGGCGTGTAGGGTCTTTATATTAAGTAGCGGTATAGAGATACTTTCAAGGTGTCAAGTCGGGGAAAGGTGGGGGTGTCAAAAATGAAACGGAAGATGTATTGGCCATCGTCTAGTTTGCTTGTCTATGGAGATTTATTTATTTATTTTATTTTATTTTATTATGAAAGGGAATTGTGCATATAAAAAAAAAAAAAGAAAAACTTTCGTAACGTTTGTTTTTGGACGACTTCATAAAGGGTTATCTTATATGTAAGGTATTTAAACTACTAATTTAGGCTATGGATTATGAAGTGTGTTATGTTGTATGCATGTTTGTAGTTAATTATTCCTACTATGAATCTGATGATTGGGCTATTTGTTAAACAAGTTATATAAATTTTTTTATCTAATAATTCAAACCAAAATCTGATGATGCCTACAAAAACCGTTAACTCGTGTCTATTATTTAATAGATTATTATTATTTAGAAGTTTAATGATGTGCAATTTTTCATGGAGGCACAAAGGGCATGGGTCATCCCAAGCTTTACATATTTTAGCCTTGTCAATAATTTTCTATTTAACTTTTGGTGTCTTATTTGTTTCCTTCAGGTGCCAAAAATATTTTGATAGTGAAGTCTGATTTCGTTTGTTTATATTATTAAAGGAGCACTTATGCTGCCTCCATCTATCTTTAAAATTATTCTTCGTGGACCCAATGTATATCATATTAGTGCTAGGGCTCTCTGTAGATGAAATAGTACATTGGTATACCACTGAATTAATACAACATTTATTTTCTAATGGGCCGTCTTCTGGGTTTCTACAGTTACATAATTTTTCCCTTTTATCGTCTGATTTAAGTGAAGTGTTTTTATTAATACTGTTTTGGCATGGGGGTGTGTTCAATACCTTACATATAAGATAACCCTTTATGAAGTCGTCCAAAAACAAACGTTACGAAAGTTTTTCTTTTTTTTATATATATGCACAATTCCCTTTCATAATAAAATAAAATAAAATAAATAAATAAATCTCCATAGACAAGCAAACTAGACGAAGGTTTATACATCTTCCGTTTCATTTTAGACACCCCCACCTTTCCCCGACTTGACACCTTGAAAGTATCTCTATACCGCTACTTAATATAAAGACCCTACACTCGCCTACCCAATTTAGAAAATTTACCATAGCTGTTACCATGGGGATTTTGATTTCAATTTAAAACAAGTAAATTTCAGATATACGTTATTCCAACAAAATTTCGCTTGAAGATGGAACGGAGCCCATTTTTTACTTTCAACTCAATTTAATTTAAAGGATTATATTGATGTTTTCGGCTCTAGTTTTGAAACATGAGACCTCTTATGTAGCGATTTGGAATCATATTTTAAATAAATAATTATATATATATATATATATATATATATATATTTGGGCATATAATCTTGCCCATTTCATAATGTATGACGTCATTTGTTTCTTCAATTTTCTTTCAACCTCCCAGAATTTCAGTGGTTTCTCTGTAAAGTACTAATTAAGGTTTTTTTTTACGCCATTCAAAGAATTCAAATTATCACTATTGAGATTCTTTTGCAAATAAATGAAATTCCGAAAGATTAATGTCTGGTAAAATTGGCGCTTGCGGTAACAGATCCCAGGCAAGAGGCAAGAATTTTTACCAGGTCACCAAAGAAACGTGAGGTCTGGCATTATCCTGATGCAAAACAATATTTTTCTTGTTCACCAATTCTGGACGTTTTTTTTTTTTTTTTTTTTTGAATTGCTGCTTTAATTCGTCCGATTGAGAGCAGTAACTTTAGAATCAATTGACTGGTTACTTGGTACAAGGTCAGACTATTGGATTGCGGTGGCTAAAGTTGGCTCATGTCGCTTACCCCAGGATATTTTTTGCTGAACATTGTTGTAAGGTATTCATTCCTCATCGCCCGTCACAATTTGTTTCAAAAAGGGGCTCAATTTCTTAAATTTTACACAGCAAATTATAGATGAAATGCAATCCAAAGGATTCACTCAGATCATATGGTACCCAAACTGCACTTATTGCAAATAGATGATGAACTTTGATAAATTTAGTCTTTCTGCCAATTCCCACATTGTTTAATGCGGGTTATTTTCAATCGATACCCTGATATATTCATCATCTCTAGTGGTAGTGAGGGGTCTGCCTTAGCGTTCTTCATCAATAAGGCTACAATCATCAACTCTAAACTTAGTAAACCACTTCCATACATTTCTGTCAGCTAGAGCACATTCACCATACACAGCAAATAGGTTTTTTGTTGCTTGACAGACAATTCATTGTGATACAAAATTGACACGAATTAAATCCTTTTAAACTTTCTTTCCCAAGAGATAGTTTAAAGGGTGCTCTAATCGAAAATATAAACATATATCTGTCGATAAATTTGACGTGTTCTAACGTGTTCGAACATGAAAGACTTTTCTGGACAATCCAATATATATATATATATATATATATATATAATTATTATTAAAATATGATTCCAACGCTACATAAGAGTTCTCATGTTTCATAACAAGAGCCGAAAACTTCAATTTTGAAACATGAGAACTCTTTTGTAGCGTGTTGGAATCATATTTTTAAATAAATAATTATATTTATGCTCTACTTTTATCGATCGAGCACTATTTTTTAAAATAATAATAAAAAATACTAAAGAACTTTGGATTATTTACCTAACGAGTTCTTTTCTTATTTTCTATATTTTTACACACACACACACACACACACACACACACACACACACACACACACACACACACACACACATATATATACATATATATATATATATAGATATATGAAGATAGATTGATAGACATGAACAGATTAAGATAGATAGATGTGAACAGACTAGTATATACATACATATATACATACATACATACATACATATATTATACATTAATATTGTTTTGTTGTAAACAGAGCATGTACTAAAATACTTGTATCTATAAAAAGAATGTATAATCATAAAAATGTCTTAAAATAATTGTCGGACTTTATCCATTTCATAATGTGTGACGTCATTTGTTTACATTTGGATACGCTATGAGCAGATATTAATGTACGTGAGAGATTCATGGCTGATCATATACAGAGACAAAGAAAGGAAAACACCGCTCTCTGGGATGAGGGTGAAATAATAGAAAATCTGTGGAAAATACGGAAACTGAAGGAATCAGCATATACGCAAGGCCACAAAATCTCATAAGCTGTCCAAGCATGAATATGAATACAATATAGGAACCAGTAATTTAGAAAGCTAGAGAAAAATCAACAATAACAAAAACTGCAATATGAGCTCTGTTAAAAATTTAACTGACACATTATGTTTATATGTCCCAAAACTTCATTCACTTATGTCCACAAGGACATATGGCCTAGTGGATAAAAGCATTGTGAGTTCAGTACCTGTTGTTAATATATCTTTCTTACATCTAATCCGTGTTCCGTGTTTTCT